CGGGGCTGATTTTCCTTTCCATTTCTTTCCATGAACCAGAAGCCTTTTTGTAGGTGTGAGAGTGGCTGGTAAGGCAGTGTGTGAACTGCTCAGTGTGGCCAGGCACCGCTGGTGGACAGATAGAAACAGCGGCAGAAGTGGGGATGGGGGAGCACTGTCCAGTCTTAGAAAACCACAGAGAAAATTTAGGCAACTTAGCACAGCCTGTTGCCTCCCACCTTCAATTAAATTTTAGCCATTTCTGATCACACATTCTTTCAAAACAGGTCTTAGCATCAAACAGCTCATAAATTATGTACCAATGCAAGTAAAAGATAATGTAGAATTTGAGCAGAATGAAATGTATTCTGCTCTTCAGACTTCCCCATGAATTAAAACAAGGTGAATTGTGGCACCACGGTGCTAGAGCCGAGATATGAAAGTTCTTCCTGTGTTTCTACAGAGTACAGCACCATCCACAGCCCGTCAACACCCATTAAAGATTCGGACTCTGATCGATTGCGTCGAGGTTCAGATGGGAAGTCACGTGGACGAGGCCGAAGAAACAATAATCCTTCACCTCCCCCGGATTCTGATCTTGAGGTTTGTCATTGCCAACACCCGAGTAAATAACAAGGCATCTTAGTAGCTAAGTGGTGATCTGTATACCTGCAGTGTAAACAGCAGTGATCAAGGTGTCCAGATGCTATTACTGTTTTCTTTTCCATATCAACTATAAATAAAGCATTATTTTTTCTCTTCCATACACATTATAAGTAAAGTAATTATTTCTGTTTTCTTTTCTGTTTAACTATATGGTAAAGCATCTGTTTATTTCTCCCTGAGGAAATATAGTAAATTATATAATTCCGCTTGAACAAAATTATACTGCTCTGAATCATTGCCATTTCAACTAAGTATCGTACTAAAAATGCTTAATAAAACCCACTTTAAAATTAAAAACACACTTATGTATGTCAAGAAAGGAAAACCCAGGATGTCCTAAACTGAGATGGTCCTCTATGAGACATGTTTTGGCGAAGTTCAAAAGCAGGAGGGGTTAAACAAAACCTATAAGGGTGGAAGATTTCATAGCCCTGAGTCCGCTGCAATTAAGTTATTTATTTATTTATTTTTCACCAAAATGAAATCCGATGGTGGAAAACATGATTATTTTGGCTGAAAACATGAAAAATTTCAGTAGAACCTATGTGTATGAACACGTACTGGTTGAGTGGGGATGGGAAGAAGAAAAAGCAGGCTTGAGGCCTTCTGTGGTATCTCAAAGACCTTTTTGAAATGAGTTCTTCAAATCCTACTCCAAACACCCAAGAGTGTGTCAAGAGCGGGTGTGACGTGTCTGCTTAAACTGTTAACTGTCTGTAATCTGAAAACAGTATGTAACCCATCCATTTGATAACAGCCCGATAAGTAACAAAAGATGAATAGAGGATGTAAGTTCGGTTTTTGTGTGCAGTTTTGTTTAATACTTGGCTCAATAAAAATAAACCATAAGATTAGCTATTTTAACACTTCTTAATGAGCAGAGAACAGAGATAAGGAGAAGATAAAGTGAATAATTTTTGACCTATTGCTCCTCTGTCTCAGAAGTTAGAAACAGATGAGTTTTCGCTCATTTTTTTGTTTCTTCAGATCTGAGACTGATAATCTACTCCAGAAGCAGAAAGGACATATATTATTTCTTTCCTATATTTATATTGATTATGTTACTAATATAATTATTCTCTCGTATCATATCTGAGGTTATATCTGGAGAAAAGTTATATCTGGAGAAAGTCTTTAAAATAGTTTTATTTTTAAAAATATAGTAAATTCAGATTTTTCTTTCATCTCCCGCTTCAAGACCACCTATTCACGTTGAAGTTAGCTGAATAACAGATTTCTCAACCCAGGGAACGATGCACTGATGTGGCTCTTCCTTTGCAGAGAGTGTTCATCTGGGACTTAGATGAGACCATCATCGTTTTTCACTCCTTGCTTACCGGGTCCTACGCCAACAGATACGGGAGGGTGAGTGCCACCGCGAGTGTTTTTTCCTGACAGTAAATAGGCCTAGAATTGGTTTTTGTGTCCAGGGAATGTGATGTGACTTTAAGTAATGAATTTAAAATAGAAAAAGGAAAATAACTTCCTTTATTGATATAGTCAAATATATATGTTAAGCAAACACATGTAAATGAACAAAAGATTTTTTTTTTTTAGGTCCTTAAAAATGAGATGAAACTTTTTGCAATTAAATTCATCCTTATTTCAGACCCCAATGAATAAAAGTAACTGGATGCTATTCTAGGATGAAATATTAAGTCGTATAGATGACGTAGAAAGATCTTTTGGGTTGTATTATTTTATTTGCCATGACCTTTTATTCTTTCTATTTACAACATATTCAGTGGAGCACATATTTCACTTGCTATCATCTTCAGTGATTAGTGGTGTTAATATATTATTTTCAAAGCACCTGTTATGTCTTTATAAGTCCCTTTGCTGTGGAGCTATATTTTTGTGAAGGATATGTAAAATTGGGCCTCAGATAACAATAGGACCAATGCATTTATGTTTGAGTTGTTAAAATATTTATCGTGGTGTCGTAGATAAAAAATAATATTATAGAACACCTTTCACGAGTAGACCTTCAGTTTCAGTGTTCTACATTTGGGTTTCCCGATACCTTGGAAATTCTTTTTGCTATATTGCTTGATTCATGAACCTTTCCCACACAGAAATCATGTTATTTAAAATGGTTGTAGGTAAGTTCTGAAATTATTCCATGAATAGGTTTCTCATTATTTTTTACTCTTTAAAGAAATAATATTAAAGTCTGAGGTTCTTGAAGCTATTGATTTGAAGCCTTAGGAACTAGCTTCTTATGTCTGGTGGCTCCAGGTGTTTATCACAATTTAAAGTTGATTGCATGCTGTCATTACAGATTTTATTCAAGTCTTCATCTTAATATTTATTTCAATAAACATAATTGAGTGCCAGCTGCGTGGGTGTGGTCTGGAGGGGAAAGTAGGGGAATTATCAGTCAGGCTTCTCAGTGCAGCTTCCTTCTCATAACCATAGAGATACGGCTAATCAAAAAGCTGCAAAAATGCGCATTCGTAAGAGTAAGAATATTCCAACATTTGGATTTCTGTTCAGAAATAAGGTATCTGTAAAACACAATATGTCCCATCTTATTGTTAAACACATTACCTGTGAGAAGAAGACAATTAACAAAAATCAGATTATGAAAATTAAGCCATAAAATCAGTCATTCAAAGGAAGTCTCCACTGAGTGTTCAGCGCAATAAGGACAATAAATATCAGCTGTGTTGTTTTTTTTGTATTTTATATCGATCGTATACTTATATTTTTATCACTAGGAATAGTGATGTTCCTAATTTTACAAAAACTACTTTAAAAACTAATTAAAGATTAAAACAAATATCAACATGTAGCTCATAGGAAGAATCTCGAACATCTTCTTAACTGAACCATTATAATGTTCCCATAACTAACTTGTAAGAAAGAAAGCTGGCTCTGGAATTGGCACAAAAGCACTGGAAAGAGCATGCACTTAGAAAACCAGCATTTGAAAACCATCCAGAAAATCTCAGGTCTTTAAAAGTTTGCTGACTAAAAGCCAACTTGCTGCAAAGAGTATTGTCTTGATCAGTCCTTTGTAGCCATTGAGAGGGGCCAGCGGAGAGTGAGGCGAACATCCCATGACCTACTGACCTCCCATCAATCTTTGACCATAAATTATTAATTTACATGTAGAATTCATACCTAACCTAGAAAGCACTGGCTCTCTAGAATTTTTTCATTCAGATTCTCAAGAATATCTAAATAAAACATTACCAATACCAAAAGTGTCAACCATTAGTATTTTGGGGCTTCATCAAACGGTATTTTGTTTGTTCGTTTATTTAGTTTTCTCATACTACAGCATGTGATAAAAAGTCTCAACTCATATAATTCACAAAAGCCAGACTTGTATATTCTTTAAGTGTGGGTGATTCGAGTTATTGAAATGTAAGGTTACCCTTCATTTATAAGCTGGTAGTGTCAGGGAGAAGCACATTCAGAAAACCTAGTTAGGGAAGATCTGCCTGAGCGAGACTTTGAGCCTGAGGTCAGAAAGACTGGAAGAGTCTGGCAGTTTGTGTGATGATCATCAAGAGAAAGAGCGTTCTAAGCAGAGGAAGCGGCAAGTGCAGAAGCAGGAGAGGGCTTGGTGCTTGAGGGGGAGAGGCCGGTGTGACCCAGCTTAGTGATGGAGACGCCGAGTCGAGAGGTGAGGGCAGGGAGGCAGGGACACAGGGCCTCCCCGCCACAGCGGGAGAGTTGGCCACACGCCATAGGAAGTCATTCAAGGACTTCACGGGAGGACAGGAAAAGATCTGATTGAGATTTTTAGATAACTTTGGCTGTACGCGGAGGATTAATAGTAGAGGAGGAGGAATGGGAGAAGAGGGAGGGGGTTTTAGCAGTGGTCCGACGTGCTAGCAGTGGAAATGGAGAGAGCTGATCGGATTCTAGATTCCGTTGCAAGCAGAGAAATTGGATTTGGAAATTATCCGGGTTGGGCTGGTGGGCAGCACGTCACAGAGGAGAACGCAAAGGTCGTTCCCAGGTTTTCGTCTTGAGCAACTGCGAGAATAGTCGAAATGAGAATGCGGAGAGTGGGAGGAGCTGACTTGGAGGGGAAATGCAGTTTGGCGTGTGACGAGGTTGAGATGCCTGTTAGACATGTAGTTGGACTAGGCAAGGGGGCAGTTAGAAGGCAAACCCAGGACACGGGGCCGCGGTCAGGGCTGCAGATGTCACCGGTAGAGTCGCCGGCACACAGCTCAGACGACAAGCTCTTTAGACCCTCTGGGCTTGATGCTTCCCTCGTGTTCACGGAGCACCTCCTTTGTGCTGGACCCTCACGGTCAGCCTGTCGTCTCACTGTCCAGACAGGTTCTAGAGACACTGCTGAGGACGCTGAATCATAGCCTGAAGCACGCGGGAACGCTTGCTTAATGTTCTCTTCATCGGGCAGAATTTGCTCCCAAATCTGATAATCCTGCCTTATAAAAATCTGTGGTCCAGCGAGGATTCTTGCTGCCTGCGCTGCTCACCAGGGCGGGCAGAGCATCTGCATCCCTTTCGTTCCGCCGAGGCCCGCGGAGCCGTGGGCAGCTCGCGGCCAGGCCCGCTTCGTGGGAGCGTGGCTTCCTGCTGTTCCCGAGCGTTGCCAAGGGAAGCGTGTAAGGCTGGGCCATATTCTGCAGGCATCGAAAGAAGCGAATGCCTGACAATGTGAGAGCTGTTCGGTCTCTATGGGAACCAGATATTTGAGAAGTAGCTTAGTCACAGTAGCTTAGGCAACTCAATGAGTAGGCCATTCAGTAAGGGGATACAGGATCTGGTTGATATAATGCAAAATTAGGGCATGTTACAGCAGTACGTACAAAAAAAAGTTTGAGAACATCCCACCTTCCGTGTAATCCTAGCTCTGGGAAGCAGGCATGTGGGGCGTTAGGAGGAAGAGCTGTTTCATAACAGTGGTGAAAGGGACTACAAGAGGGTGCTAGGTCCAGTGCAGGCTTCGCTAGGGATGAGAAGAGAGACAGCCTGCTAGCGGGAAAATAAAGTCCAGAGGTGGCACCGAAAATTCGGTGGCGGTTAACGATATCTGTCCCCGCTTTCTTGGATTCATTTTTAGAAGTTGCTTTTAAACTCAGTCCACATTCCCTGATTTCACTGAAGAAAACGAGTCTCAATTATTTTCATTGAATGCTCTCTTTAAATCAAACAGTAGAATCCAGTTGTTATGTCAAAGCACACACTCCAAACGTGTTTCGAATAAGTGTTGTGCTGACACCCCAGGCATGACCCCCCTCTTGTGGGGGCCTCCCCAGATATCTCTGCCCACGGCTTTATTGTTCCGGCACCTTCCCGTTATTGCCGTTCATACAGAATCGGCCTGAAAAGCGCACTCCTCATTTTACGTAAAAACCTAAACATGAGCACTTAAGACAACATAAAGCTTAGCATTTTTCATTGTAGGTCCTACTTATTAAGAATTTCCTATGCCCCCAGCATTCATTTAATTCAACATTAAGGCTCTGAAATCGCTACTACTAAGTCCATTTTATAGATGAGGAAAACTGAGGCTTGGCAAAGGTTAGAGACCAAATGCGAAAAACACTGAGCACCATGACTGGCATAAAACAGATAGTAATTATAGTTTAATGTAGTTGACAGTCAAATCGAATCTGGCTTAGTGGCCAGTGAGTAATATGTGGTAGTTTCTTCAAATTAAGTGTCAATATGTGATACACCTTATAGTGTGATGCAGCATCAGATTTAAATTCAAGTAGCTCTAGACTCAAATCAAAGCTCTGACTTTTCAGGGTTTTGGTTTTTTTTTTAATCTTGGGCAAATTATTTATTCCTACTGGCCCTCAGTTTCCTCACCTATAAAACTGGCTACTTGACTTGCAGAATTGTCTTAAGAATTAAGTTGTATCAATTATATCTCAGTAAAACTGAGTAAAACTGAGATATAATTGATACAACTTAATTCTGAGGAGAAAAAGAAAGATTTAAGTTGTGTCGTGAATTTAGGGCTCAGCACCGTGTCTTATTAATAGCAGTAACCCACCAATGAGAACAGCACATTGATCTCGCCACTTGTTGGCCTTGTACCTGCTGTCCGAGCATTTGTTTTGTAATGCACCAGGCTTCTACGAGGATCCCAATCGTCTTAGTGACTTCAGATCAACAAAACCTCTCTAGCGAGTATAATACTGTGGTTATTCAGCACACTGATGGAAGAAAAATTTGAAAGCCCTTTAGCCCATTTTATCCGAACACTCCAGTTAGCCAGTAAAGATCGCTGCTCTTACCCTGTTTCATGGGGCATCGCTAAACTCCAGAATCTTTTGAGAGGTGACTTTCTTCCACGGCGGCTAGTGAAGATGCTCAACTCTTGGCATGGCGCCAAAGCAGCCAGGCACCCAGTGTCCTCCTCGGAC